AAATTCCGAAAAGAAGCCCCTCCATGTATGAGCCCCTCCAAATATAAGCCCCCCAGACGGGTAACGCAAAAAAACCCTCCGTTAAATCGCCCCTCCAAATATAAGCCCCCGGGGGCTTGTACTTAGAAAATTGCCCTCAAATACAAAGTAAAACAAAGCAAAAACGGGAAATTTACTTCCAATTATATCGATTTTGAAACGCAAATTTCCCTCCGCAGATAAGCCCCTCCAATTATAGCCCCCCTCCCCCCTCCTCCCCCCAAAAAAAGCCCTTCAAGAAGGGCCTTTGAAACATATTAGGCCCGGGGCTTATTTTCGGAATGTTACTGTAATTTTTTGGGTGTGATATTTGGAGGCATAGCATTAAAACTTGAAAACGTTCACCCAACTTTTTCTAGTTTCAATCCATGTCCATCCTTTGCATTCGTCGCAACAGACGACAGGGAACATTTTCAAAGCCTTAGACAACAAAAGTGGACCATTCTTTTAGAAGGTCAATTGATGCGAAGACGCGTTTTAGCTATTGAAAGATGCAAATAGCGTGACAAAGCCCCTTTAAACACGTTTTAAGAAGACAACTGCAAATGGAATCACGATTGTTGTGGTTCCTTAGTTTGTTAAAACTGTTTGCATTCTACAAATAATTGTAACTTTCCTTTCATGCTTAAGCACGTTTTAAGAAGACAACTGCCAATGGAATCACGATTGTTTTGGTTCTTTAGTTTGTTACAACTGTTTGCATGCTATAAATAATTGTAACTTTCCTTCAATGCTTAAGCACTTTTTAAGAAGACAACTGCCAATGGAATCACGATTGTTTTGGTTTCCTAGTTTGTTACAACTGTTTATATGCTATAAACTAGGTATACCTATCGATAGAGTTCCAACGAGTAAATCATGCGTATTTTGCTTAGGAATAAAATTCCTTTTTTTCCCCATTTGACCGTTTCTTGGTCCCTTCCTGTTGCAAGAATTATTTTCTTGAAAAGGTGTTATGCATGTAACATTTTATGAGGTTCCTGAGGAGAGTCACTTCCCAGATTCAGTCTGGTGGCTTTACAAACCTGTATGTAAAGGTGTGAAGTGTCTTGAAAGAATAAAATCAGCTTTGCAGAGGAAGCGATCGGGAAAGTTATTAAGTCCAGTTACAAATCCACTGTCACATTGTAGATAAATATTTGCACAGTTTTATCATTTAAACCTCCTTTCAAATTTCCCGAGGCTTTTTGTTATCCGATTGAAACTTAGAATGATTCGCTGGGCCATGAAATGTTTCCTAGGACATGCGATGTACGGCATGTCGGTATTTTAGTTCATTTTTTTATACTGAATTCGGCCAGGTTTCGAAAAAAATGGCGTTGTTTTCTTTTCGTTTGTCTTTCGCTTTAGGCTTGTAATTCGTTTTTGTTCTCATTTTTTTGTTTGCTGGTTAGATTTTTTCCCAGCACCAGATTTTCCAACAGAAGCGATTGTATTCTCCGTGTCAAGATTTCCCTATCTCCTCGCGCAATCTGATCCTTTATAGGCCATCCCCATAAAATGTTTCGTTTCCCATCGCCCTCCCTTTCGTGAAGGTGGGTCGGTCGGTCGGGCAAAACGAAAAAAAAAAAGAATGAATGAACACATGATTGCATATTAAATCTCACGTTTAGTCTGCAAGATATAATCAGATGGTAAAAGATATATGTATATTAACAGGACTACCAAACGTCTAAAAGGCTACAAAAACGAAGTATCGATGATAATTTAAGACAATTGGTGTTAATAAGACAAGATCGCGTGCTTGTAAATTAAAGTACTTGCTTCTTTACAAGTGATTCTGGAATTTTTTTTTTTTACTTTTCCAAAAAAATGGGTCGGTCGGGCGATGAGAAACGAAACATTTTATGGGGATGGCCATAGTGGAAAGCACATAGAACACTTATGCTGTTTTACAAACTTCTCTTCGTTAAAACTTAACATTATGGCCCCTAAAATTAATAGATTATATCAAGTGCTCATGTTTCTTAACTGCAGTGGCCAGGTTTGACGAATAAATTTAGGTAGACTGCAAAACAGTCGGTTTTTTTCTCAAAATCAGTAAAGAAATCGGTAAAGCGCGGCGTAAGAGTCTTACGCGCGCGAACGAGAGGACTGTATCTTTCGATGTAACAACACGATTTAATCCAATCCAACGATCTACTGTTATGAACAATCAGTACAATTCTCACATATTCAACAGTCGTAACACATCAACAATCAACTATCAACGTAACTAAAACGATCAACGATCAACGATCAGGAAGTCACGAGGGCGGGAATTGTGTGAAATCAACCTGAGCCCGTGCGCCAGGTACTGCCTTTTGATTGGTTCACAGCTGACCACTTGGTCTCAGGGGAATCTACATTACATCAGGGGCCCGATCCATTCAACCAAAATTTCCGGAAATTTCGGTCCAAAACTCAATGGATCGGTTCGGTCCAACCGGAAAAGTTTCGAAAAAACGGGTCCACCTTTTGAGGTGGACCAATTTTCCCGGTCGGACCGGTTGGAATTTTGGTTGAATGGGTTACACTATCTTTTTTCAGCTCGATCGAGAATTTTTCTGTCTATTGCAACCCAGTCTTGCGCGGGTCTATTCTGCTGCCGCCTCGCCATCCGAGCGTCTTCGCTCGGATGGCTCGTTGACAATAATTGTAACTTTGCTTTAATGCTTAAGCACGTTTTAAGAAGACAACTGCCAATGGAATCACGATTGTTTTGGTTTCCTAGTTTGTTACCACTGTTTACATGCTATAAATAATTTTAAGTTTCCTCTAATCCTTAAGCACGTTTTAAAAAGACGACAACGAAGATTGCTTTTGTTTTCTGGTTTACATTGTTTCCCCTACAGTCCGTCACCAGGATATTGCTGTTTTAGCGACTAATTCTGTACTGATCTCATTACTTGGTGCCTTTACTCATACACAAGTTAGAGATGTGAAGAAGATATCAAACATGTTTGATAAGGAAGCAACAAACATAATAATTTTTTTAGTGATTTTTCTGGTATAGCATTGAAACTTGAAAAAGTTGGCCCAACTTTTCTAAGTTCCAATCCATGTCCATCCTTGCAATTCTTTGCAACAGACGACAGGCTTTAACCTCATTCTCTCTTGGCTTTAACAATTTAAAAATTAAGATAGCCCCTTTAAGCACGTTCTAAGAAGATTTTGAAAATACTGTTCCTGAAACATTTAAATTGAAAGGTCACTTGCCCTTTCTGTTAGGTTTTCACTGGCGCTTGTTGGATATGAGATGATTATAGCCAACTCATGGCCAACGTGTACTCGTGGAATAATTGTTAAATAGCCAGTGCGCAGAAAAAAGTGTCCGTGACGCTATATTAGAGTTTGTGACTTGGAACACAGAAAGGTGTCCGTTGTTTGTATTAGCGGGTTATTTTTAGCGGAGAGAATATGTAAGCTTTCTATCGGGGCAGACGAAACTGTCCGTGTTCTCCGTTATGTGCAGGTGTCAGTAAAGTGGGGGTTCCACTCTACTGCAAAAGACTTGGAATTAATTCCTCTTTACACCACTTGACCATTTATAAATAAAAAATGTAGCTTAAATATCGAGAAGCCAGACTGCAACAAATAAGGAACAAAATAAGCAAGCAAATTTAGTAAAAGTTTTAAGGCGCTTGAAAACTGTATTGGTCAGGCAAAAAAAGCCTTGGAAAAAATAGGGCGATCGATTAACAGCCCACCTTTCTCGGCTAGTATTTCTCTTGGAACAGTGAAGATAAGATTTGAAGTCGGATACCTGACCGAAAGCAAACAAAGAATACTGAATGTGCTATCACTGGCAGTTGTGCTTTTAACTCTAGATCAGAGGTAGGTGGTGTCACGAACGAAACGTAGTGGAAAGTACCAATCTTTAGTAGTCTATAAGCATCGATCTACCCTTTATTTTTTAATTTACCCATGATTACTCAAAATAGTCCAGTGACCTAATTCATGATAAAAATCCGCTCTTTCCACTGAAGCAATAACGGAAGCCCTTTTTAAAAATACATTCTGTGGGCGAAGCGATCAGAACGGGCAAAAAAAAAGACACTTTATGGGTTGCAAGTAAGAAAAGTCACGCTGAGGTCGGACTGGCCAGGTGACAAAGTCAAGCTACAGTTAGTTGGCATTTAAAAAATTTCGGTCTCACAAGTGCAAAACGTGCCTAAGAATAAAAGGAAACTTGGAGAAACATTTCCTTTCAGATGAACAAAAATCCGCCTCAGCAATTTCTGCTCGTATCTGACAATTTGTCCATCTAGTTAAAGCTACAACTTTAAGGAAACTTAATATCAATAACTATGACCTTAGTGTATAAGTTTCGGGGCAGATTAAAACATTTTCACAACTGAGGAGGAATTAACAGAAGAATATTCAAGCAAGCAATTCAACGTTTTCAAGTCTTTCATGATGACTTCCAAGATTCTTGTGACATTCATGGCAGTGTTTTCTTTATGGAGTATCGCAGGTCAGTTATATCCACTATGTCGACACTAAGACACTAACTAGATGTACACTAACTAGATGAACATTTATCGTTTTTTACGTTTTCAAACAATTTCATGTAAGATAAAATTACACTCAAGACGGTAAACTTTCCTTCACTCTTTTCACGAACATTAATTGCAGACAGATTTATAAACTGTACGTTTTTCGTCCTGCGTAGTTTCAATGTATATGGTCCATTACAAATCTACTGGCTTTTTTCATCTCAATCATTACAAACTCGATCATTAAGTGACCAGCTACTTGTTCCCGATAAACACAGAGGCTATATCACAGTCGATTTTGTTCCCTTAATAATGGCCAACTTTGTTGAGTAACCTCCTTCCCGATGCTGTTTTACTAGATGCTTCCACTGGAGAATCAATGGAGATGAGGATCTATAATCCTGACGTTCGGGCGCCACAGACGATGATATCCGACGTTTGCTGGCTAATTATAAGGCAGTTCTCACGGCATTTGGTTTTAAAATGGAGGTCACTACCCAACTGATTCAGCGATCAACTTACCAGAAGACGTACTTCTTCTTCAAGACGGTACAGTGCTCACAGGTGCCAGATGTCAACAAAGAGATAGACTCTTTGATAAAAGGTAATACTACAAACGAACACTTAACCAGGGGACTGGGAATAACTTTGGATCCTCATCTACAGCCCAGGGGCCCGTTTCTAGAAAATGCTGATAACTTTTTGGGCCCGTTTTATTTTTTCTGTGTTTGCATTCACGATCCGACAGTTTCAATAATTTTGAAAAAGGCGATACAATGAAAGTATTAGTTAACGAAGCAAAATTGACCGGTTTGTTTGTGAGCTAGGAAGTGTGCTACTGTTCAACAGGTTTTGATCACAAAATGTGTCCTCGGACCCGAAAAGTTACCGGGCCTTTCGAGAAACGGGCCCCTGGGCTGAGCTGTTCGAACGAAGATCAGTTAGTCAAACCATATGATGTATCCCGGCCTTGTTCAGTAATGGTAATAACTTTCTTTTTCCCAGTTAGGAGCCGCGTACATTTGCTTGCCCTTTCCTCTGTCCCCATGCAAAGGGCATCTCAGTCGGACGGGGTAAGGCACTGGATGTTAGTGCGGCACATTTTTGGACAAAAGCGACTTGATGCATTTTCATATATTTCATCGGTCATTTGTAGAACGGTGGTCGTGACATAATTAAAGAAAAGGCGACTACTTTTACATTTTACATTGTAGCTGAGGACCTTTAGCAATAAAGGCATTTAGGCATAATCCGAAGATACATACCGCGCTTACAATCTATCTGCTAAGACAGTCAGCGAATAGCAAAGTTACAGGCTTTAAAAAGAAAATGACATAAAATTAAGAAAATAGCTGGAAATAAACCATTGTCAATCGCTTTCCCTTCTTACTCTTCCACTCAGGAGTTTTTGGACAGCAAATCATTGGCAAAGTTAAAAATGAGATTACAGTCCGAAACCTGGGCAACCTGAGAGATTGTAAGACAGGACTGGAGGTGCATTTGAAGGAAGTTCAGGGTCGCCGTTCATCCAGAAATGTCCGCACCGCACGTCGCCATTGGTGGTGTTCGAAAACCAAGGTTAGCATCAACAACTAGCTCTCGGCCTGGAGGTGGGAGACTGGAGGGCTTGGCTTTTCGTCCATTAATTGATTAGAGTTTAGAGAATAGAGACACAAATTATGAATATTTTAAATTGACCTTAAAACTTGTCGATGTAAAGCTCGATCATCGCACTTAACTTCTTACATTTCGAAAATCATTTGCTAATGTTTCTTTTTTAGAATTGGACTGCTATTAATACACTGAAAAGCCTGGACTAGATTATATGTAGATTGAAGTTAAAAGTTGAATAAAGATATTTTCATCTGAGTATTCTAGTTGCAGAATTTTTTCTTAGAGTGCTAGTTAAGCTGGATTTAGATTTTTATACGGACTATGGGTCTTAGTCATGAATTCTGCTTTGCCGGTCTGTTACTCCTCTGACCGTCAGCGTCTAAAAAGTATCTTCCGTGTAATGTGCTTGCGAGTTATTAAGCCGTTATTTACTACAGATTAGTATTTCATCGGTATTTCATGTATTGTAAATCGCAGAATTTTTGGTTGTTAGTTTTTAAGGAACAGTTATTCTGTATCGTACTCCTGTAGCTGAAGATGGTTTTTCATAACGTCAAAATATCCCCACCTTTCGTCAAAATGGCACGCTCGATTTCCTTTTAAGATGACGTATACGTTATCATTCGTTGCAAATTTTACCTCCTTTTCATTGGCCAGAAGGCGCTTCGAATCAAGAGGGCTCTTTGCGTTGTTCGAAGCGATTCGATCAGAGGAGTCACCTTATAAGTTTTGTCATTGATCGCATTTAAGTCAGTGGATGATGCTGGCGCTGGGAAACTCAGAGAAATGCTCACGTTGCATGCAAACTCACACGCCGTTCACGGTAGGTTCACACTAAAAGATGACTGTGAGCGTCAGGTTAGGAACGCCACAGGCAGCCCAAGCTCGCTACAAGAATGCGGACGTGACTCTTGCTTGCAAGCGGTGTTGTGTTAAACAAACGGTTATTTACAAAGGCTTATATGGGATGTAAACGGTTTTTCTTAAAAGAGAGAAAAAATGTTATGTTTTTAAATAACATCGTCTCAGGCCGTTTTGAAGCGTTTTCGGCGAGTTAGCGCTATTTTGGCGTTCCACTGCTAAGGGAAAGACAAGGCAGAACAGTGATTTCCCGAGTGTCCGTCGCTCGAGGCGAATAATTCAGCTGGAAAATTACCCCCGGCCTCAATTCCTCCAGAAATTCAAAGCAGAGATGTTGCAGTTCCATGTCCATTCACTCGATTCGCAATTCCTCCCACAGATCGTTCACGAGCGATGCTTTTATCTCTTGCTCGATCGGCCTCCAAATTTCGAACTACGTTGTAGGTTCTTCCAAACTGCCGTGGATCGGTTCATCGATTGCATAGTATGTCGGGTAACTAAAATAAGCCCGGGGAGGGTAGCCAGTGGCCTGCAGTCGACAAACAGGTTTGTTTTGACAACGGGTTTGTTTGTCGTCTGCAGGCCGCTGGCTACTCTCGCCGGGCTTATTTTAGTTACCCGCCATGCTGATGGCCCCAACATGCAAGGGCGAAACAGCTGTCCATAGCTGCCACTGCCCGGGTGATATGGTTGTGCGCATGCGTAAGGTAATGGCCAAACTGCGGAGTTGGTACGTGTGCTTCAGTGCAGTTAATTGGTATTGTTTAAGATTTTTAAGCCTTCATGGGCAATTTTGCGGCGCAAGCAGCGTTGCTAAATAACGTTATCTTCAATAAATTAAACCAAAACATGTAATGAACCAATAAAACCTGAATGACCTTGTGAAATATGGAAGAAAGGCCAATTTAAGCACTAAAAGCTGCTCCGATATCTGAGAATTAGAACACAACTAAAGAAATTGCTCAGAATGGAAAAGGTTGCTCGAAACGAAAAATGTTGCTCGAAATAAGACAAGCTGCCAAAACTTGCCGAGCAACTTGCGGAAAGCCCTACCTGTATTTAATAACGGAGCCACCATGTGACCAACTTTTCCCTTTTCTTGTTGCTGACTACTTTTACGCAAAAATTAGTAGTTTGACGCCATTTTATACATTATAATTGTTCTGAGTGACTCTAAATCTCTCCGTTGATCTGGGATGGTTGCCTTTTCAGAGGCGTAGATTAACTTTATAAGGCTGATTACCGAAAAAGGATTTTCATCTGCTCTGGCGAAGACATTAAACAAACAAATTCCAGAAATCTCAGTGCAAAACTTTCAAGCAAATCGAAATATTCGATTTGTTTGAAATTATTGCTCTGCGTTTTTTGGAATTTGTTTGAAACAAGGCTTATTGTTTGTGGGAAGCCATAATAATAACGTCTTTACGCCTTTATTAAAAAGCATCCGACAAAATTACATATCTGATGTTACAGTAAAAATATATATTGACAGAAAAAAAATTACAATGATCAAGATGAATAAAAAAAGATTAAATTGATGAAAAATACATATGGGGTATTTACACAGCTAGATTATATTTAAAAATCAATCTATTAAAAAAGCTATCTTTGAAACGTTCAGTGTTAATGCTGGGCCTGACAATGGATTTCCCACGAAGGTTTACAATACAGTCTTTGTACCTTGGGAGCAAGCTTTTTAATGGATGGTCATCGCGTTTGAGGTTATAAAAAAGGCGTCTGTCGCTTTTCGCCAGAAGTTCATACATGTTGTAATTAACCGACGTATAACGCCTCTTATAGCATCTTTTTTACAAAGGTTTTTAAAAAAACCTTTGTATAACAGTAAGTTCGGAAACACTTGCGGCATAAACTGAGAGACCGTATAATAACTTAGGGATCACAATTGAATTAAAGAGATGGTCTATTTCATCTTGTGTATATCCTTCCTTACGTAGGCTTCTGATGACAAATAAACACTTGTTGGCTTCATGGAGCTTGGCCTTGACATGCAAGCCAAACTTACAATTACCTTGAATTGTGACGCCTAATAAAGAAATGTTATTATATTGTTTGATATTGTGAGACACTGGGTAGACTGTTAAATTGCCTCTCTTACGCATAATTAGCTCCTTACATTTACTAGTGTTACAATGCATGTCATTTGCAACAGTCCAATCCATAAACTTGGACAAGGCAATGTCAGATATATCCGGGGAATCTTTAGTAATCCTGACTAAGACGGTTGAATCGTCTGCATATTTAAACTAGGATATATCTTTGTACCCATCTATCTCTAGGTCATTCAAAAATATGTTGAAAAGATATGGGCCACTGACACTGAACTGATATCATTAGTCTTCCTATGCCAGCCCATGTAATTCAGAAACAGAGGCAACGTCTCTCTCCTCCACAGAAGCTCCCGCTGGCTATCCATATAAAATAGCAATAATCGAAAAAAACAATAGAAAGCGCGCGGGGGACGACGGGAAGAGGGAAAAGGCGGGAGCCTGAGGTCTCTCTTCTCTCTTTCCCCTTCCCATCGTGCCCCTTGCGCTCTCTTTTTCTTTCTCCCCAGCCTCCCCACAACACAGAGAGGCCTCTACGGAGGAGAGAGACGCAGCGTTCACACTTGGTGCCCGGGCACGGTGCCCGAGTACGGTACTCGCTGGATACTGATGTGAACACACCCTTTTTCAAGTACACAAGCAGGAATTCGAACACAGTACCTGAGTACAAGGTCGAGACCTTATACTCGAGGGAAAAAAAGTGGGCATCGGGTCTCTGTGTTCCACCGTGCGCAGTTTACTACTCTGTAGTCACTGCTAAGCTCATGTTGCAAACCGGCGTCTGACAGGGCGAATAGGGTAACTATGTACACAGTTACGTATCGGGCGCTCAAGGTGTAAACACAACAATTTTTGTGCCGGTACCAGGCACTGGTTCCAGGGAACATAGTTTGGACAGCCCCAGAGAGTCACAAGGCACTTCCATTCTAACAAGTTTATTCAGCCATCAACTTCAGGCTAGCATTGTTTATAAATATAGTTTTCTATCTAGGAGTCTGGAGGCCTGGAATAAGTTAAATAATGACGTCATTGAAGCCACCACTACTGAACGCTTCAGTAAACGTGCGGTTTCAGAGATTGATTTTGACCTAAAATTACCCCAGAGGGCATTTGTATGTCATTGGTTGCCTTGTCCGTGTACAGCGTCTTCCTAGGGCTTCTCGGTCAATGAACTTCGGTGACGTATCCGACGTATCCGTAGCCTGCGTAGCATGGCGGTTTTGTCGAGCCGGGCGCAGGAGCGACGAAGCCGCGAGAAAAATAAGTTGCTCCCACCCCAATCTCCTCGCGGTTTCTCTGCCCTAGCCCGCCTTTATTACTTAGCGCGCCCAACCAAAACCGCCATGCTACGCAGGCTAACGTATCCGAGACGAACAAAACTCGATCGAAACACGTGACCCGAAACGCATCGGAGCACAAGACCAGGTAATGTCATTAGAGACGGAGTGAAAGGGCGTTGGCCGGGTTATCTTTATTTCAAAGACGTTATTTTTAGAAATATACAGCTGTGTGTGTTTAAATGAATCGACTGGATCAGTTGAAACAGGGCAGTTTATCCAACTTTGAAATTCGATTTCATCGCGCCAAATCATTTCCCCAAAAAATCCTTTGGAGATCGTAAAGAACAACTCTTTGACTTTGAAAGTCCAGGTTTTCGACGAATTATATTCGGATCACGTGCCTAACTAATAGGCTAATTTTGTCCAACTTTTCATCTCGATAAAAATGGGTGGGACAAAAAGTAAATTAGATTTTAAAAATCAATAGACGAGGATTACTTCAATTGTTTTTATGGCATACTTTGACATCATTCTACAATCTATGGTATGTTTTTTTCCTTAGAGTGTCAATATTTTGTAACGCGAGGCGTCGTAAATCGCCTTAGATTTTCCACTCAAAAAGCGGCGTTTTCACAAAATTCGGTATAAATTATCGATTCCTCAAATACTAATCGTTAATTTGCAAACGAACTATGCAGTGTTTTGTTTTACATTAAGGTCTACCTTACCTGAGAATATGGACCAAATTGATTCTTGAGCTGTTGCCACGAAGTGT